GGGAGCCCCCCGCCCCTAAAAAAAAAAACCCCCCAAAAAAAAAAAAAAAAAAAAAGAATACTACAACAAAATTTTTCAGGCTAGTACCCATAGCATAGAGAGTTAAGCCCTATGCATGGGAAGCTGGATCTCATGTAGCCAACCATGGTTCAACTATCAGCCCTTGAGGCTTGAAAATCACACCAGGTGTGCGCATTTGTATGGCCCAAATCCTGAAGATGGACAAATGAAGCATGATTACACCCAACTGAGGGTGCTTTTTCTCTCTGGTGAGCACAGACACCCTCTGACAAGTAAAACAAGATACATTTTTAACAAAATAGTGAAATTATCATATCTCCATTTTTTAATCTCAAAGTTACAATCATTGTTTTTAGAGAAGAAACTCAAAACAGGAAACATGTTCGATAGTAGTTTTCAGAACCATAATCAATAACAATTACACTGGTGCTCAAAAAGAGAAGAAATTTTGTGACATTTAACATATAAAAATGATTACTGAGCTTTATCATTGTTCTAAATTAATATTAGATTAAGAGTTCCTAATGCCAAGTAGGGAAAAAAATAATATTCAAATTTACAAAGACCTATATGTGTAAACTAGGACTTTCTATTTTAACCAAATTAAAAATAAAAGCTTGAAACCAAATCAATAGTGCATCAAACATATACATTATATTTCCTTGTATGTGAAAGACTGGAATAGCATAATCAAGAGGTAAAGCCTAGGTTACATCTCTGGACTCCCATGTAGTCGACTGCAGTTCGAGTCCCAAACCTGGCAACTTAAAACACACTGGGTGTGCATGCATGCATGCCCAAAACCCCAAGAGGAGAAGGGACTGCAGTGTGGCCATCCTCCTGGGGGTAATTTCTCGCTTTCTGTTTCTCTCTGTCTCTACAGTGAATGCACGTGCACTATAGCAAAAATCTCACTAAAAAACAAAACAACAAAAAAAAAACTCAAAAAAATGGTAAAGACTGTTACTTGTCTCATTAAGAAAATATTTTCTGGCAGCAGTTGAGTAGTTGTTACCTAGCAACCTGTCCACCCAAAAGTCTTTTGGGTGTACTTCTTTTCTAAAATCTTTCTTCCCTATTGAATTCTCTTTTCTACCTAAAAAAAACAATCTTTTAAAATTATTATTTGTATTTACTTTGGAAATTTTATATTACATTTAAACATTAATAAAATTATTTATTTACTATATTTTGAATTGATCATATTCTAAATATAATTATTTTATGAAATTTTGTCCCAGTTTTTACACATATACACAGAAGCCATGATATGAAATGTATTCTTACATGGATTACCATCTGAACGTTTGAAAACACTATTTTAAAATCTGATCTAATATTAATAATGCTTATTTAAATAACAATATTTATTTAATAAAATAAATCCCAGTTTAAATATACCTTTTGTACTGTCGAGTTTAGCAATGACTTTTTGTTCTGCAACATTCCAAATGATCACTAAGTTATCGGTACTGCCACTGGCAAACAGATCAGGGTTATGTGGACACCAAGAGATTGCTGTGATTGTTTTTTTATGTTCAGACATAATTGCATGAAGTTTGAATTCATTGTAACGGTGATCCAACTAGAACAAAATATATAAATAAGACATTTTAGTGCTCCTTTTTAGATTATCCATTAATAATCACATTATATAAAACAAAAGCTACTTAAATAAAAATTAGTTCACATGATACTATAGATATAAACACATTGAGAGCCTTAGTTCCCAATCAAATGCATTCAATCAGCTAATAAATCATTTGGAAGGAAGATGAAAGAACTGAAATAAAACATATCAATGTTAAAAATAAGTAAAAGTGAATATTTTATATTGAAATATGCATAGCAATTCAGAGCTTTATTATATTTTTCATAGCTAACTCTATTTACAGAGGGAAAAACCCTTGGACTTGAAAGAAATCTTCTATAATTTTCCACTACTCTGCACTATTAGATGTTCGATGTGAGACCAGCATATGGTCTGATGGTTATGCCACTGGACTTCTAAGTAGTCAACCGTGCTTCAAGTCTCCAACCCATGGCTTAAACTCATGCTGGGCACCTGTACATGTGTGTCCAAACTCCCGAGCGGAGAATGGCCATCCCTTCCGGGGGTGGGGGGTGATTTCTTGCTTTTTGTCTCTCTGTTTCTCTCTGTCTCTCTGTTGAGCACAGATGCCCTATAGCAAAAATCTCTCTCTAAATAAAAAGCAATGGTATATATTATTGACCACTTTTATGTTATTCTTCTTTGAATGAGGCATTATGTTGTGTTTTTATGTAAAAATAAATAGAATAAATAGCCTAATTTTATTTCATTTTTAAATTCACCTTGATTAATCAGTGAATTAATTAATCTATTAATTTTAGCACATTTTAGATTATACTGTATTCATTGTGTTGTAATTGTTCTTTTTCCTTTAACATTTAATGAGCCTTTCACTGTGTTAACTGAAATTTCAAAACATCATTATTATTGGGTTGTCAGAAAGTCATGACACACATTTTTTTTATAGGAAAACATAGAAAAAATACATCATGACTTTTCCAATGACTCAATATATTTTTTAAATTTTTTTAGAGGTTTTTGCTATAGGGCTTGCGCTCACCAGAAAGACAGAGAGAGACAGAGAGACAGAAAGCAAGAAATCACCCCCCTGGGGGGATGGCCACACCGCAATCCCTTCTCCTCCATTCTCCTCCTGGGATCTTGGGCATGCACGCACACGCGCCCAGCATTTTAAGCCACCAGGTCTGGGACTTGAACCGTGGTCGACTACATGGGAGTCCAGTAACATAGCCATTACGCTAACTGCTGGTCCCCATGACTCAATATATTAACTATTTATTACACCAATCTTTCTTTAGTCATATAAGTAAAATCTTAACTGCTAAAATGACCTTCCTTGCCCTTTGTGATCAAATCTCTGCTCTCCTGCCAAACTAATTTGATATCATATTTTTTCTTGTTCACTCTGAATGTCTTGTTTTCCTAACACAGCAAAAACATTTCTGCTTTACGACCCAATACCAGCTGTTCTCTTAGACTAAGACACTCCTAATTGATTTGTTCACGGTTATTCATTCTCCTCCTCATGTTTGAGTTTAAAAGCAATTCAGTGAAATGCTTTCTTTTGTTTTTTTTTTTAAAGAGATTTTTGCCTTACAGTGCATGTGCTTGCCTGAGTGAGAGAGAATGACAGAGACAGTTAGAGGGAAAGTGAGAAATCATCCCCCCCACACACCACCACGGGGACGGTCATGCCACAACCCCTTCTCCTTCTGGGATCTTGGTCATGCATGCACACGCCCCCAGTTTGAGTTTGAAGCCACCAGGTCCAGGACTTGAACTGCAGTCAGCCATGTGGGAGTCCAGTGATGTAACTGCTATGCCATCTGTTGGTCCTCAGAAAATTGATTTCTGACTATGCTATCTAAATTCAAATTCTCCCCAGAACCTAGACAACAGCTATCTTATTACCTACCTTTATAGCCTTGTAAACCATATTTCTTTCAGAAACATTCATTTGTTTAATTATTTATTTTATGACCTCTCCCTGCCCCACCCCACTGCCCTTAACAAGAATATAAGTTCTATGATAAAAATTTGCATGATTTGTTCATAGTTGCATTCTTAGTGGTGAGTAACATTTGGTCAGCAGAAGAGATTCAGTTAATATTATTCAAAGAATAAGCCCTGGTGCTATTGTTTAACATATATAAGTAACTTATTTTTTACTAGCACAAATAATGCTGCAATGAACATCTTTGTACATAAAATTCTAACTGATTATTTAATTACTTGCTTTCTCTTCTATAATTCCTTTCTCTTCTGATAACTTTTTTCTCTTTCTATAACTTCAGCTATTTTGGACAACTGTGATAAAAAAAACATTGTTAAATATATCCAGTACCAATGGAGTTTTTATCTGATCAGCACTGTAACAATGACTTTAATTCTGCCAATTAAAATATTTAACTGTGTGGAGCCATCAGGTGGCATGGTGGTTAAGGAATTGGACTCCCACATGGCCAGCTGCTGGTCGAGTTCCAGACTTGGCAGCTAGTTTTGTCACTTTCCCTCTTTCTCTCATTCTCTGGTAAGTGCACATGCTCTATAGCAAATTAAAAATAATATTGCTAATAAATTAAATAAATAATACTTTTAAAAATAAATAAACTAACTTTTCAGTGTATTTAGAAATAAAATGTATTTTAAATTTTAAATTATTCAGCAATTTAAGTTATCTATGATAAAGACTATGTATGTATCTAATATATTTCATAGAAATATCTGCTATGTAAGTTGGAAATTCAGTAGGAGAATCTATAAATACAAAAAAATGTATGAAGAAGTGATGCTGGGAACCAGCAGTTAGCATAATGGCTATGTCGCTGGACTCCCACATAGTCGACCGCGGTTCGTGTCCCAGACCCGGTGGCTTAAAACTCACGCCGGGCGCGTGTGCGTGCGTGCCAAGATCCCGAGAGGAGAATGGAGGAGAAGGGATTGCGGCGTGACCATCCCCCCAGGGGGTGATTTCTCGCTTTCTGTCTCTATGTCTCTCTCTGTCTGTCTGGCGAGCGCACGCGCCCTACAGTGAAAATCTCTCCAAAAAAAAAAAGAAGAAGTGATGCTACACGTCAGTGACCTTCACTGACTTTAGCATACAAACCATCCATATAGTATCTGTAAGCACACTATAGAATACTGAACTATCTGTAGGGATTATAATTTATTAATGCAATAATATTATATTTACAATTCAATATTATGAAAGTCTATTGCTACAGTGACATGAACTATAAATTATACATAACATAATTTTCAAAGGACTTTAATTTAGAGAATCACATTTAAAATAATACATAGAGATTGAATTAAAATAATACATAGAAATAATTAATGTCAATGTCATCTTTAATAATATAATTTTACATTGGTAGACTTTGAAACGAGATTTTAGTGGACATTGTAATAAAATGACATTTGAGTTTATTTGTATTAGCTTCTAAATCAGGACATTTTAAATGTTTATTTTCATATTTAATGCCATACAAATGTTAATAATTTTAGCATAATCTTCAAAATTCAATATAAAATGTCATTATAAATTTAAGGCACACATCCTTAAAAACATTCTGCTATTATCTACTCAGCTTCTTACTATGTTTACCTCTGAAAGGAAGAGTTTGCCCTTTCTGTTAAGTTGTTCTTCTTTAGGAGGAAATAAAAGACAAGAAGATAAAGACTTAAGACTGGGGGAGAGACCTCTCAACTGGAACAAAGCAGCCAAGAAAAGAATGGGGAAGACATATTCAAAATACTAAAAGAAAAACAATTTCAACCAAGAATACTAAATATATATACAGGCAAGATTATCCTTCAAGTGGAAGAATAAATAAAATCATTCATAGACAAACACAAAATGAAAGAATTCACTAATACTAGGCCAACTCTTCAAAAAGTACTGAAGAGAATATTGTATCAGGAAAACTAAAGAGAGACAAAGAAATATAAGTGAACAAAAAACAACCAAGAAAGTGGCTAATAAAGGGTCAGGAACAAATCACCAAATATTGACAATAATGTTGAATGTTAATGGGTTAAATTCTCCAATCAAAAGACACAGAGGACTTGGGGCCAGCAGATGGCATAGCAGTTATGTATCTGGACTCCCACACAGATGACTATGGTTTGAGAGCTGGAGCCAATGGCTTGAAAACTCACTCCGGGTGCATGCCCAAGATCCCAGCAGGTGAGTATAGGAGAAGGGACTGCGGCCATGGCCATCCTCCCTGGGGAGTGATTTCTCACTTTCCCTCTCACTGTCTTTGTCTCTCTCTGGCAAGCACACATGTGCTAATGTAAAAATTCTGGAAAAAAAAAAAAGACACAGACAGCTGAAAAAAAAGAAACCTTCCATTTTCTGCCTACAAGAAATGCACCTTATAGATAAAGACATACAAAGACTAAATGTAGAGGGCTAGAAAAGCATATATCCTATGCAAATGGAAATTTAAAAAAGGCTGGAATTATGATACTGGTATCAGACAAAATAGGCTTAAGACAAAAACTGAAAATAGAGACAAAGAAAGACATTATACAGTATTAAAATGGCTAACTCACCTGGAAAATGTAATACTTATATATAAGTATGTACCCAACTCGGGAAAACCGAAACATGTGAAATAAAGACTGTAAGATGTAAAGGAATAGGGAGACTGCAACACAATAATCACTGGGGATCTCAACACTCAGCTATCGCCTTTGGACAGAGCTATCGGATCTAAATGACATCACAAAATATACAGTTTTCTCACCCACACAAGGAACCTTTTCAAAAATTGACCACATGATAGGGCATAAAACAAGCCTTTACAAATTCAAAGGCATAGAAATTATATTAAGCATCTTTTCTGACCATGATGAAATTAAATAGAAAATTAATTTCAGAAAAATCTCTCAACAATATACAAACACTGAATGATTTTCAAGTCGCCAGGTCCAGGACCCAAGCCATGGTCAGCCATGCGGGAGTTCAGTGCCTTAACCACCATACCACCTGCTGGCTCTGGCAACTGACTATTGTAAAATTTAGATTTGCATTATAGACGACTGATTACACTGAAGGACACAGATGGTGCCAAACTAGAAATAGAGAGACTATTAAGAAACTATTATAAGATACTAAAAGATATAAAATACTAGAATCGCACTTGGTTACCAAGGGTGAAGGGTGTAAGTAGAAGAGGGAGTCAAAGATGATGTTCACGTTTCTGATTTAGGTAAATGGCATTAACTCTGGGCTTAAGAAGAAAGACTTGATTTGGATTCAGAATGTTTGTCGTGCCTCCATATGGAGAAATTCTGGAGGCCACTGGGTCTATAAACTGGGAACTGATAAGAGGTCACTAAATGAAGCTAGAACATGAACAAAACAATAGTTATAATGGTATGTCTTCCAAGAATATCTCAAAATATATCTGAACTGATTTTTTAATATAATGTTCTCTTAATGGACTACATATATTCTTCAACTGATGAGAATTTTCTCAAATTGAATTTACTGATAATTTATTAACATGATATAAACATTTTCTAAAAGTTTAGTTTGTAAAACCAACCTAGCAAAAACCAGAAAATACAAATATTGATGAAATTATAGCACTATGTTTTTCATGTGACAGGAACTTGAAAATACATACCAATTAAATATTAATTTTACTTGGTAAAATTAAAAAGATGAGTATTGGTTTACCTGATAAATATAGATAGCCAAGGTCGCACAATATGCAAACCTGTCACCGTTGGCAGCACATACATCTTTGTTCCACGGTTGACATCCGGCAGCCAGCAGACCCACTTGCCTTACCCGGGACATGTTTGCCTTAAAAAACAAATCGAAAGAAATGTCAATCATTGTTATTATTTGATAAACTTTCCTTTCAATGTTTTACATCTGTCTATCTCAATTCTTACTTTTATTAACTGGAAAAAAACTTAACTAGTAGTCTTAATCTTAACTTACAGAGAATAGAAGCTGAAACCTCCAAATGTATCTAGACTTCAAGGCAGGTTGTTTAAATTTGGAATGTAGAAGATCATGAAATGATGATTGACAGCTGACTCCTAGCTAAGGGTAGGGAAATCCCTAAGGTGTGATGAGATTTACTGTGAAACTGATGGTGCATCTCCTAACTGTTTTAGTGTCATTGGAAAAGGTCACTCCATATTGCCATACTTATGGACTTTCCCAGAGAAACTGAAATAGCCAAGCTTCTCTGTGAAATGTACCAATTTTAAAATACTGACCATTCTTTCAAAGCAGCAAATTCAAATTTAAAGCACAATAGGCCCAAATTGGGAGGACCGTGACCTGTGTCATAAAACTTAATAGGTTTTATGTTGACTCTATCCTCACAAAGACTATTTGAGGTTAATTCCTCAGTATTTTATTATCTTTTGTAGTGTTAGAAATAAAACTGTTTTCTTACCTTTCTTTCCAGATAACCCTTTTTCTTTCTTATGTTCAAAAATTAGTAAATTCTAATAAGTTATGTTTATTCCAATGAACCATTAGCTCATATTTATTTATAAAACAACTCTCTCAATATTTCTATTTCGTATTTCTACTTGTGGAAAGGAGCTACTGTCTCTTGTTTTTATTCCCCCCATTTCTTCTCCAGCTCTTTCTGTCTTCATCTTCCATAGCCCCATACCTAAGTGAAATAGTGACAGATTTACAAAACAAGTAAATAAATTATTTGAAGTAAAAATTGGCATGATAAAGAAATGATGCTATCAATCTTTGAGTGCTTACAAGTATACAGAAACTTCCTTTCTTCCTCTAATGACACCTGTATTTCCTCAGGCATTAGTACTCTCATAAGTCTTAAAAGACATAGCCTTTTTATTCAACAATATTCTTCATTAAGAATATACATGATTTCAGCCTCAATGTTACTTATATAGACTTTTGCAGACTAAGCTAGGGACCTATGATTACTATTTTTAACATCTGCATGTAAGTAAAAGTGCTTTCTTATTTCTGTTTAACCAAGTGTGAGTTTATATCTGAAGAAAAAATATAGTTAAAGAGAAAAAAATTTAAATGAAACTTTTTTTTTAAATTTGACAGTGGGCATGTACACTTGCCAAAGACAGACAGTGAGAGAGAAAAGAGGAAAGCAAGAGGGAATAACCCCACCTCCATGGGGCATGCAACAATCCCTTCTCCTCCATCCCTCTTTTCTTTTGGAATTTTGGGCACACATACACACATGCCTGGTGTGTTATTCAAGCCACCAGGTTCAATATTGGAACCAAGCAGTCAGCTATGTGTAATCCAGTTGCCATAACTAACAGGCCATGAGCAAGACCAAAATGAGATCATTTAAAATTTTTCACTTTCTGCTATTTTTCACATTAAAAAAAATTAATAAACACTTTTTAGAGCAGCTTTAGGTTCATAAGAAGATTGAGTGAAAAGTATAGACATTTTTCAAATACTCCTGGTAGCCTCCAACCCACCTTACATCATAAGCCATCCACTATCAATATCCAGTACCAAAAGGTACATTTGTTTCAAATGGTGAACCTATTTTGACACATCATTATCACCCAGAGTTCACAGTTAAATTAAGGTTCATTCATGGTGCTGTATACACTACAGATTTTGACAAATGTATAATGACACATATCCACCATTAAAGTATTACACATAATAGTCTGACTGCCCTAAAAAGTCCTCCGTGTTCAACCTATTTATTCTCTCCCTCTCCCCTACCCTGGCACCACTATTCTTTATACAGTCTCCACGAATTTTCCCTTCTACAATTGCACACTATTGGAATCACACAGTATGTAGCCTTTCAGATTATCTTCTTTCCACTAGTAACATGCATGTAAGTTTCTTTTATGTCTTTACATGGCTTGATTACTCATTTCATTTTTTTCTCCAATTTTTTTTTGTCATAAGATACATCTAACATAAAACTCACCATCTTAACCACCTCTAAGTATACAGCTTCGTGATATTAATTACAGTCATACTATTCATCCATCACCATCAAGCCACCTCCAGATTTCTTTTCTTCCTGTAAAACTGAAACTTAATAACTATACACAATGCTCCCCAAGGCCTTCTCTTCAGACCTCTGAAACCATGATTCTATTATACGTTTTGTCTCTATGAACTTGACTTACTGCAAATACCTGAACTAAGCAGAATCATACAGTATTTGTCTTTTGGTAAATGGATTAATTTTCTTAGCATAAAGTCCTCAGGTATCATCCATGCTGTAGCATATGTCAAAATTTCCTTCTTTTTGAGGGTAATATTCTATTGTACATATATATAGCATGCTTTGCTATCCTTTCATCTGACAATGGACATCTGGATCACTTTCACGTTTTAACTATTTCACGTAATGCTGCTTAAGGATGGATATACAAATATTGCTCTGAAACCCATACAAAAATCTCTTCATGACACTGCTTTCAATTCTTTTGGATATACATCCAGAAGTGAAATCGCTTGATTTTAGGGTAATTCTATTTTTTAAAGGAATTATTTTATTCATTGTCATTTTATTTTATTTTTTATTTTATATTTTATTTTATTATTATTTTTTATTTATTTTATTTTATTTTATTTTATTTTATTTTATTATTTTATTTTATTTTATTTTGAAGTTGACCAGAGAGAGACAGAGAGAAGGAGAAGGAAAGTGAGAAAGCAAGCTGCCAGGTCCAGGACTCGAACCACAGCCATGTGGGAATCCAGCTGCCTTAACCACCATGCCATCTGCTGGTCCGAGGGTAATTCTATTTTTGATTTTTTTTTTTGAGAGGTTATTGCTATAGGGTGCATGCACTCACTGGAAAGACAGAGAGAGAGACAGTGAGAGTTCACCCACCAAAGGGGGTGGCCATACTGCAATCCTTTTCCTCCATTCTCCTCTTGGGATCTTGGGCACATATTCACATATGCCCAGTTTAAGCTGCTGGGTTCGGGACTTGAACCACAGTCAACTACATAGGAGTCCAGCAACGTAACCCCTGTGCTATTTGCTAGTTCCTCTATTTTTGATTTTTGAGGAATTGCCTTCTACTTTCTACAATGGCTGTACCATTTCAAATTCCCACCAAGAGGGCACAAGTGTTCTAGTCTATATCCTCATTTTATTATTTTCTGTTATTTGATAGTAGCCATTTTCATGGATATGTGATTATATCTTATTGTTATTTTGATTTTCATTTCCCTGTGATTAGTGATGTTGAGTGTCTTTTCATATGTTTTTTGACCATTTATATGACTTGCTTTAGGGAAATGTCTACTCAAGTACTTTGCTCATTTTAAATTGGGTAAATTGGGTTTTGTTGATGTTGAGTTTTAGTAGTTCTATTTTTGTCTTTTAAATTTGCTAGAGGCAGGGCTGGCAGCTGGCCTGGTGGTCAGGCTGGCTAAACTCCCACATGGCTGACAATGGCTTGAGTCCCAGACCTGGCAGCTTGCTTTCTCACTTTCCTTCTCTCTCTCTCTCTGTCTCTCTCTGGTCAGCTTCAAAAAAATTAATTAATTAATTAATTAAAATAATGACAATGACTAAAATTAAATAATTCTTTTAAAAATTTTGATAGAGGGCACACATACTCCCTGGAGATTGAGAGAGAAAGAGGGATAGAGAGAGAATGCAAGAAACTATTCTTCCCACTCACATGGCAGGTGGTCATGCCACAACCCCTTCTCCTTCATTTCTCCTCTTGGGATTTTGGGCACACACCCATATTTCCAATGTATTTTTTCAAGCCACTTGGTCGAGGACTATAACTGTGCAGCTGGCCATATGGGATGCAGCCACCTTAACCATGATGGCACCAGCTGGTCCAGGAGTTCTCTATGAATCATCCCTTATCAGATATGTGATTTACAAGTATTTTCTCACATTCTGTATGTTTCCTTTATACTGTTAATAGTATTTTGTTTTTCTGGATGCACAAAACATTTTATTTTCATTAAGTCTAATTTGTTAATTTTTTTCTTAAAATTTGCCAGAGAGTTCATGCATTCTTCAAGAGAGAAGAAAGTGAGAAAGCGTCCTCCCCCCATGAGGGGTGGTCATGATGCAAACCCTTTTCCTCCATTTTTCCTTTCAGGATTTTGGGCATACACACACATAAAGGCCCAGCATGTTTTCTCAAGTGCCAGGTCTGGCAATCAAACCAAAGTTGGCCAGGTGGATCTAGCTACCTTAACCACCATGTCACCAGCTGACCCCATTTTTTTTTCCCTTGTGATGCCTTTGCCTTTGGTATTATATCAAAAACAAAAACAAAAAAGTCACTCTCAAATCTAATGCCATGATGCTTCTGTCCTATGTTTTCTTCTAAGAATCTTATGTCTCGTGTTTTCAGTCTTACATTTAGATCTCTGATCCATTTTTATTGTTGTACATGGCATTAGGTAAGAATCCAACTTCATTCTTTTGCATGTGGATATACAGTTTTTGCAGTACCATTTGTTGAAAAGACTCCTTTTCTCATTGAATGGTCTTGGCACTTATTCAAATAACAGTTGACCACATATGCCATATATGTGAGGGTATATTTCTTGAATTACTGGTTTTTACATTAGTCTATTTGTCCATCTTGTCAGTATAACACTGTTTTGAATATTACTATACTGTATGGCATCTATCTTTTTTGAGCTATTGACATTTTTAATTTGTAGAAACATGTTGTCTACCCTAATAATATGCACTCAGGAAGAACGTGTATGTAGTTGTTATTGAGTACGTTCTTCTGATCAGATATAGATATAGTTAATGTACTGTGTGAGTCCTATATTATGTTACTTAACTTCTGACTGATAGTTGCACCTACTAA